TGTTTTTCTCTCAGTTTCAGTGCTTATTGTCCCACTCTTATAATTATCTACCCGTCTTCCATTGTCTTCTTTCTTCTTTCTACCTCACTGTGACTTGTCTCCCTTACTTCCAGTTTTCTCCCTCACATCCAATTATCTCCTCACTTACACTTGTCTACTTCTACCTTCCTTCCACTTGTCTACCTTTACCACTTTTTTATTTCTCTCTCACCGCCACTTGTCTCCTTTATTTCCAATTTTCTTGCTGATTTCCACTTCTCTCCCTGATTTTCATTGGTGTCCCTCATTTCCACTTGTCTCATCTCCCTCACTTACACTCATTTTCCTCCCCCTTCCTTTCATTTGTCTCCTCCTTCCTTCCACATGTCTCCTCACTTTAATTTTACCCACTATCACTAACTTGCTTCTTTTTCTTCACCCCTTTTCCCCATTTGCCTCCCTTTCTCCTCAGTTCTCTTGCCCTTTATCCAGCTCACTTACCCCCACCACCTACTTGTCGCCTTCATTATTGGGGGATCTCACTTCACACACTGGTTGCACTGATACAACTAAAATCTATACATAAAATCAAGTGGGGATCAGTGTCAGCGACACCTGGTGGGTTTTCTGTTTTATGAGGATTGGCTGAAATTTGAAACCTACTGGGGTTATTTAGAGGAACACTAACCAGTGTCACAGCTGGGGGTAGGAAGATCTTCAGGTGTGGAGGTGATAGTTTTAATTGGTTTGCAGTGATTGGCTTCACACCTGTGTGCTTGTTGAGATTTGTGTCTACCTACAGATCTTTGTTGTATGCTTGTCTGTGTGTGCAACCAGCCTTTCATCCATACTTTCTCTCACTCTCCTGTCTCATTCTGTTGTGGTTGTGTATATGTGTATCTCTGCTTCTTTCTCTATTGTTCTGTGTGTGTTTCTTGTGGTTCTCTGTCTTTGACCCTTTCTGTCCCTTTATTTTTTTCTTTGAGTTTCACTCTCTCTCTCTGTCTCTCTCTCACACACACACTTACACTTAAACACACACACATACAGGGATACTCTTGTCAAACTCCCACCCCAACTGAATTACTTCATAGAAGGAAATGAACTTTCACCCCTTCATTGTTTGAGGTTTATTCTGGGATGTATAACAGATACCCCAGTAGTGTATATGAGGTATATCCTTGCACTGCTAACTACTGCACATAAGCTGACATGACTGTAAGTGGGGTCATACCTCAGGAGGTAACTGCAGACAAGAGTCACCTTCTGCATGGAGCCCTGGATAAAGCAAAAACACCTTCTGCGTGGAGCCCTGGATAAAGCAAAAACACCTTCTGCATGGAGCCCTGGATAAAGCAAAAACACCTTCTGCGTGGAGCCCTGGATAAAGCAAAAACACCTTCTGCATGGAGCCCTGGATAAAGCAAAAACACCTTCTGCATGGAGCCCTGGATAAAGCAAAAACACCTTCTGCGTGGAGCCCTGGATAAAGCAAAAACACCTTCTGCAGGAAGCCCTGGATAAAGCAAAAACACCTTCTGCAGGAAGCCCTGGATAAAGCAAAAACACCTTCTGCAGGAAGCCCTGGATAAAGCAAAAACACCTTTTGCAGGAAGCCCTGGATAAAGCAAAAACACCTTCTGCATGGAGCCCTGGATAAAGCAAAAACACCTTCTGCAGGAAGCCCTGGATAAAGCAAAAACACCTTCTGCGTGGAGCCCTGGATAAAGCAAAAACACCTTCTGCATGGAGCCCTGGATAAAGCAAAAACACCTTCTGCGTGGAGCCCTGGATAAAGCAAAAACACCTTCTGCAGGAAGCCCTGGATAAAGCAAAAACACCTTCTGCAGGAAGCCCTGGATAAAGCAAAAACACCTTTTGCAGGAAGCCCTGGATAAAGCAAAAACACCTTCTGCAGGAAGCCCTGTGTACAGCAAAGTGCCACTGACTGTAAGGAGGGCAATCTCGGATTGGTGAAGCTGAAGACACAGTTAAGACTTGTGTACAGACTTGATAAATTTGGGTCAGGAGAGGAAATGGGACCACAGTGTCTGAGCAAGAGTCGGACTTGTATGTGGTTATAATCACATTGTGATTGCAGGGACTAGCTAGCAGGCAATGATGAATCAGAAATTCAACATTTGATTTGTGACAGTTACAGCCCAGGTAATGTGATTATCTGTACTGATGACTGTGTTGAAAGGCTGAAGAAGCACTTGGGGCTCATAGTAAAAGTAAAAGGCCAATCCTTTGTGCAACACAGAGTTAAGGAACCCTTTTCCACGCCTTTAGGCGAGTTGGGCATACAGGACCCCCCCCCCCCCCACCCCCCCCCCCCCCCCCCACCCCCCCCCCCCCCCCCCCCCCCCCCCCCCACCCCCCCCACCCCCCACCACCCCCCCCCCCCCCCCCCCCCCCCCCCCCCCCCCCCCCCCCCCCCCCCCCCCCCCCCCCCCCCAACCACCCCCCCCCCCCCCCCCCCCACCCCCCACCCCCCCCCCCCCCCCACCCCCCCCACCCACCCCCCCCCCCCCCCCCCCCAACCCCCCCACACCCCCCCCCCCCCCCCCCCCCCCCCCCCCCCCCCCCCCCCCCCCCCCCATATTTTATAGACCAATTGGTAAGTACTAGAAACATGATGTGGTCAGTATCATACTGGCTGCTTTTACTCCCCTGGACTTTCCCTGTTACCCACTCAGGGCTGGGTCAACCTGGGAGCCAAGGTCATTTATTTGAAAAAAAGCCCAGCAGCAAAGCTTGCATATTGTACAACATCGTAATGGAAACAGTCTCATACAGCATGCAGAGAATGCTGGAGACAAATATGCTGAGTGGCAAGCATAACTTTCGAGATTTCGGATCTTAGGTGTCATATGGATATTTTATCCAGAGCATGCAGATGTATTGGGAGATGAACAGGCAGACGGATTGACAAGTGCTGTACCACTGGGTGGGGACTTGATGTGTGGCATACTAGATGTTGTCAGTGCCGTCAAGGAGGTAGGATGAGTAAATGATTCAGGAGACAACACTGAGTTGACAAAATTTAAAATACTTCAACAGCTTCAGGTCACAAGAAGTGTCGCCAGACATGAACACTATACAGGTAGCCAAAGAAGAATAGTAAAGCAACACCGAACTGGTGTTATCAGTCGTCGCTCGCTGCGGGACATACTGAAGAGCTAACTAACAGCCAGGTTGTTACTGGTACCATTGGGAATGGAACTCTGCTTTGGCTGCTGAAGATGGGGACAGGATGCTTTTGGGAGTGCTGTGATGTCATTTCTTAGCTTACCTTTTTAGGTTCTTTATTAATATCCTGCCCCCAGATGATGTCACAGGACGGTTCTGCATTTTAGAGGGTGGTAAGACTGGGTTTCCCAGCTTTCTGATGCTTTTAACGACTCCAAAACATTCAAAACTGGCCCTAACCCACATATGTCCCATGAGTGAGTGCAGCCTAGGTCCCGCGACTGCATGCAGCCTAGGTCCCATGACTGCATGCAGCCTATCTACCGCCCCCTAAAATATTAGACTGTCCTTTGACCTCTGGATTTCCCCTGTTTTGGGTAGGATATTAATAAAGCACCCCTTTTTAGGAGTACCTGCCAGGTCATTTCATTAAATTTCTGTACTCTTAATTACCTGCCTGATGTATATGATAGAGACTTCTTTTCATATATGAAGTGTTAGATCTTCAGGTATTCTGGGCTTGTTGTAAGCAGTTTCCTTCCTCACCACCTCTTGTATCTTAACTCTTTTGGTCACAGGTTGCCTTAGCTAATGACCAAGAGATACACGAATTACATCACTAAATTCACAGATAAACTGTTTCCACAGGGGCTACATACACAATCCTTGTAGGAGACACACATCTTGTGTGGGTATTTTAAAGATTGGGGTGTTTGTAAAGTCTCTGTACACTTTGTGTGTGGACAAAATTTGTGAAATGAAATACATGACATTGTCAAAACATGTGCTGCACAGACAATTGTGAAGCAGTTGCAGTGAATGGCTGTTGTCTGCTGTAGTTATTCTGTACACTCAAGATACAGTTGTGTTATCAACAGAAAAAAGAGTTGTTTTGGTTGAACAAGTGTTTCAAAGTGATGGTCGATACACACAGATGGTTGTTCAAAGATTTATAGCAAGATTTTTTTAACAACTTCCTCATTGTATTACAGTCATTAATTTTTTGAACAGGTTACATTGAATATTTTATTGATACTTTCCAGCTTTCTCAAAACATGGCAAAACCATAGCAGTGACAGTTGTAACTAATTCAGTGACCTTTGTGTCATATTTTTAAATGGCATCATGTACTTGGTGTTTTCAAATTTGTTCCGCACACAAAGTCTGGTGAGACTTTAAACACCCTGTATAAAAAACATAAATAACATATTGATTGGTAATACAAATAATACCCAATCACATATAGTTCGTTGTTGGGGACATAAAGAGTTCAGCAGTCCACAGAAAATCCATCCAGCCTAATCGAAGCTTAATGTTTTACTGATCTGTTTCCAGCTTAATCGAAGCTGAATGTTTTGCTGATCTGTTTCCAGCCTAATTGAAGCTGAATGTTTTGCTGATCTGTTTCCAGCCTAATTGAAGCTGAATGTTTTGCTGATCTGTTTCCAGCCTAATTGAAGCTGAATGTTTTGCTGATCTGTTTCCAGCCTAATTGAAGCTGAATGTTTTGCTGATCTGTTTCCAGCCTAATTGAAGCTGAATGTTTTGCTGATCTGTTTCCAGCCTAATTGAAGCTGAATATTTTGCTGATCTGTTTCCAGCCTAATTGAAGCTGAATGTTTTGCTGATCTGTTTCCAGCCTAATTGAAGCTGAATATTTTGCTGATCTGTTTCCAGCCTAATTGAAGCTGAATGTTTTGCTGATCTGTTTCCAGCCTAATTGAAGCTGAATGTTTTGCTGATCTGTTTCCAGCCTAATTGAAGCTGAATGTTTTGCTGATCTGTTTCCAGCCTAATTGAAGCTGAATATTTTGCTGATCTGTTTCCAGCCTAGACTTGCACCAGCAGATTGCAGAACTACACAGCCAGCTGCAGCGGAGTGGGGCCCATATCACCAGCATTGAGCACGAGCTGATGGACAGTAGGCAAGCCATGGACCTTGACCTCATCAAGGTCAAGGAAGAGTTGAGCAGGCTCCGTGATCGATATGACAGGTGTGTAGTTGGGAGAAATGCTGTGTGTAGTTGGGAGAAATGTTGTGTGTGAGGTGCTGTGTTTTCTTGAGAGAAATGTTGAGAGTAAGGTACTGTGTGTAGTTGGGAGAAAGGTTGTGTGTGAGGTGCTGTGTGTAGTTGGGAGAAATGTTGTGTGTGAGGTGCTGTGTTTTCTTGAGAGAAATGTTGAGAGTAAGGTGCTGTGTGTATTTGGGAGAAAGGTTGTGTGTGAGGTGCTGTGTGTAGTTGGGAGAAATATTGTGTGTGAGGTGCTGTGTTTTGTTGAGAGAAATGTTGTGCGTGAGGTGCTGTGTTTTGTTGGGAGAAATGTTGTGTGTGAGGTGCTGCGTTTTGTTGGGAGAAATATTGTGTGTGAGGTGCTGTGTTTTGTTGGGAGAAATATTGTGTGTGAGGTGCTGTGTTTTGTTGGGAGAAATATTGTGTGTGAGGTGCTGTGTTTTGTTGGGAGAAATGTTGTGTGTGAGGTGCTGTGTTTTGTTTGGAGAAATGTTGTGTGTGAGGTGCTGTGTTTTGTTGGGAGAAATGTTGTGTGTGAGGTGCTGTGTTTTGTTGGGAGAAATGTTGTGTGTGAGGTGATGTGTTTTGTTGGGAGAAATGTTGTGTGTGAGGTGTTGTATTTTGTTGGGAGAAAGGTTGTGTGTGAGGTGCTGTGTGTAGTTGGGAGAAATGTTGTGTGTGAGGTGCTGTGTTTTGTTGGGAGAAATGTTGTGTGTGATGTGCTGTGTTTTGTTGGGAGAAATGTTGTGTGTGAGGTGCTGTGTTTTGTTGGGAGAAATATTGTGTGTGAGGTGCTGTGTTTTGTTGGGAGAAATGTTGTGTGTGAGGTGCTGTGTTTTGTTGGGAGAAATGTTGTGTGTGAGGTGCTGTGTTTTGTTGGGAGAAATGTTGTGTGTGAGGTGCTGTGTTTTGTTGGGAGAAATGTTGTGTGTGAGGTGCTGTGTTTTGTTGGGAGAAATGTTGTGTGTGAGGTGTTGTATTTTGTTGGGAGAAAGGTTGTGTGTGAGGTGCTGTGTGTAGTTGGGAGAAATGTTGTGTGTGAGGTGCTGTGTTTTGTTGGGAGAAATGTTGTATGTGAGGTGCTGTGTTTTGTTGGGAGAAATGTTGTGTGTGAGGTGCTGTGTTTTGTTGGGAGAAATATTGTGTGTGAGGTGCTGTGTTTTGTTGGGAGAAATGTTGTGTGTGAGGTGCTGTGTTTTGTTGGGAGAAATGTTGTGTGTGAGGTGCTGTGTTTTGTTGGGAGAAATGTTGTGTGTGAGGTGCTGTGTTTTGTTGGGAGAAATGTTGTGTGTGAGGTGCTGAGTTTTGTTGGGAGAAATATTGTGTGTGAGGTGCTGTGTTTTGTTGGGAGAAATATTGTGTGTGAGGTGCTGTGTTTTGTTGGGAGAAATATTGTGTGTGAGGTGCTGTGTTTTGTTGGGAGAAATATTGTGTGTGAGGTGCTGTGTTTTGTTGGGAGAAATGTTGTGTGTGAGGTGCTGTGTGTAGTTGGGAGAAATGTTGTGTATGAGGTGCTGTGTTTTGTTGGGAGAAATGTTGTGCGTGAGGTGCTGTGTTTTGTTGGGAGAAATATTGTGTGTGAGGTGCTGTGTGTAGTTGGGAGAAATGTTGTGTGTGAGGTGCTGTGTGTAGTTGGGAGAAATGTTGTGTGTGAGGTGCTGTGTGTAGTTGGGAGAAATGTTGTGTGTGAGGTGCTGTGTGTAGTTGGGAGAAATGTTGTGTGTGAGGTGCTGTGTTTTGTTGGGAGAAATATTGTGTGTGAGGTGCTGTGTGTAGTTGGGAGAAATGTTGTGTGTGAGGTGCTGTGTTTTCTTGGGAGAAATGTTGTGTGTGAGGTGCTGTGTTTTGTTGGGAGAAATGTTGTTTGTGAGGTGCTGTGTTTTGTTGGGAGAAATGTTGTGTGTGAGGTGCTGTGTTTTGTTGGGAGAAATGTTGTGTGTGAGGTGCTGTGTTTTGTTGGGAGAAATGTTGTGTGTGAGGTGCTGTGTTTTGTTGGGAGAAAGGTTGTGTGTGAGGTGCTGTGTGTAGTTGGGAGAAATGTTGTGTGTGAGGTGCTGTGTTTTGTTGGGAGAAATATTGTGTGTGAGGTGCTGTGTGTAGTTGGGAGAAATGTTGTGTGTGAGGTGCTGTGTGTAGTTGGGAGAAATGTTGTGTGTGAGGTGCTGTGTGTAGTTGGGAGAAATGTTGTGTGTGAGGTGCTGTGTGTAGTTGGGAGAAATGTTGTGTGTGAGGTGCTGTGTGTAGTTGGGAGAAATGTTGTGTGTGAGGTGCTGTGTTTTGTTGGGAGAAATGTTGTGTGTGAGGTGCTGTGTTTTCTTTGGAGAAATGTTGTGTGTGAGGTGCTGTGTTTTCTTGGGAGAAATGTTGTGTGTGAGGTGCTGTGTATTGTTGGTTTGGCTTGGGAGAAAGGGTTCCTCTCTTTAACCCTTTTGCTCAGAGAAGCCAAAAAACTTACTCTTCCATTGGGATCTTATTTGCCTTAAATGTCTCTTTTCCGACTTGCCTAAAGTGACCTGTCTACAGACACACAGTTAATGCTATTGACCGGTTTCACACCTTCACAAACATTTAAGAAGTCATTATATGAATACACTAACTAACAATAGCATTGGGGGGGGGGGGGGGGGGGGGTGTTGATTTGAGCTAAATTCATTTTTTTTAAAAGCCAAGTTGGTTTCAAGATTTCGTCCTAAGCCTCAGTGTTAGAGGTCAGGGGATGTTGGCCTCAGTAACCCGACACATGTGTTTTTGTTTGTTAAGTCCAGAGGGACGTATTCCCTGTAATGCTTCATTCTGTTTGTGTTTGATTATTTACTTTTATCATGTTCTATATTTTTTTTTTTTTAAAGATAAAAGTATTTTTAAGGAAATCATTAAGCACTTATGTAAAAATTAGACAATATTTGTTTTTATGGAGTTTCTCTTGAATTCTGACATGGGTCATGATCCGTCTGTTTTAATGTTTTCGGAGCGGAAACAATTTAGCCTTATTGCTGAAATCTTTCAGTATTCGGCAGTGATTACCTTATTTCGACTTCCGGCCGAAATGGAGTTTAGGCACGCTCACTGTTTTTAGTCATGACAAATTTTTGCTTTGGGCAGACAGTGGCCGTTCCATTTTCCTTCATTTGTAGACTGAAAGAATATAGTTTTCTTGCCCTACTACTGAGTTGAATGTATGTCAGCTGAGCATTTCATTTGGAATTTTTTTGGGACTGGGGCGAGCTCTGTACTTGTCAGCTTTGGGTGCATTGTATCTGTTTTTATGAGATTTTATCTAGTTTGCTTTGTTTGTTATTTAAAGGATCCTTTTAATGTTGTTTACCCATCTTGTTATAGCTCTTTCTCTGTTCTTAATCCATATCTTTTTGATTGTACTGCTTTCAATGTTTGTATATTTATATGTACATTATTTATTGAATGTTTTTTTTTCCAGGTTATTAGAAAGTCATAAAAAGATGCAGAAGATTAATCATGATTTGGAGGACAAATTATTAAGAATGGTAAGTTCTTGAACAGTTGTACATTTTTATATGATGTCATCTTGAGGGGAAAAACCTAATTTGTCACCTTTTATGACATGTTTTGTCATGTTATGACATGCTTGTTAGGGAGGCAGTGGATCTGTTCTTTTCCCCCAAAATGGGGTCCCAGAAATGACACTGGAAGTTGTTCTGTCCAAAGTCTGGTGTCAAAGTCATGCAGTTGCATCCCCACTGTATGCAGTTCTCTCACGCACAATTCCCAGAATATAGTTTACATGCAGTAGACATATGGTTTTATAGACGAATGAGGAGAATACCCTGGACAGATCAAAAGAGTAATGAGGATGTCTTGAAAGAAACTGACTCATGAAGAGCACTGATTGCCCACATCTACATTTTGTGTTCATGTGATGAGAAGGAATAAACTGGAGTACATCGTGACAGTAGAAAAGTTGGAGGAGAGGCAGAGGAAGACCAAGAGAAAAGAAGCTGGACTGTTTGACATCATAGGATGGAGGATCATCTGTAGCAGAGTTGAGTGAAAGTAAACGGGACAGAAGGTTGTGGATAGAGATGACTACCAACGCCATATGGCATGGAGTAAAAGAAGAATAGATGAGATCTCTAAAAAAAAATGCAAAGCATATGGATGGATAGAAAAAACAAAACAAATGAAGCAGATACAAGTTGTAAACTTATTAGAATAATTACTTGTAGAGAGTGAATATGTTTTGGATATATTATGAGAAAGAATGTGCTCTAGACTTAGGAACTGGAAAAAAATGATGGAAAGAGAGCTAGAGGAAGGCAAAGAGAAAAATATTTGGATAGTCTGGCCAAATGGATGAGGCAAGACATAAACTCTGAAGTGATTCTGGTGATTGTGTCAGATGGTGAAACATGACAGCCTCGGCTGACTGGTACGGTTCATCATGATGATGGTGTTGTATTGTTCTCACCACAGTTACTATCATCCTCATGCTAGTTTGTTAAGACTAGTGTAGAAATCATTGATCACTGGTCCCTGTTTATCGTAGCACAAAGTTGAGTGAAATTCGACCCTGCCAGGACACCCACCAAGCCGTAAACACCTGGTGACACAAAGTGCCACCATGTGAATGAAGATCTTCCAGGGAGAGGTCAAAGGAACCCCAATCAGCCGTCAGGTTATATTAGGGCCCCTGGCAAAAGCTATGGTGGAGCTTTAAAACAAACAAAAAATTGCATTCGCATTCTGAGGCGGTGGTTAGCATGGATTGAGCACAAAGTTAGTCAGCATACGCATTAATACATGCAGTTGGAGATTGCTGATAAATCCTACTCCATGCTTTGCATATTGAATTTCTCCTACTCCCGAGTGCATCAAAATGTAATTTTTGGATAGTTTCTTCATTCCTCATCCTTCTCTTCTCACTTCTGATAAGCCTAATACTTTAAAATTATATTTCTCCATTAATTCTATGACTTGTTCTTCTTTATTGCCCCATTCACATGTATTGATTGTCCCTACCCTGGTCTTAACTTTCTGCTGGCCTCTATTTTCCCTATTTTTAAAACATCTCCTATTTCCCTCTTGGGTATCACCGACACTTCAATGAGGTACGAAGTGGAAGAGAAGAAGAAGAAGTTGGAGATCGCAGGTTACAGAAAAGCATCACCCTCACCAGCCGGCCCGATGATGGTTGTGTATGTATATAGCCAGAGATGTCTACTGATACCTTCTTACATGTTGAATCCACATCACAGCCCTTGGATACATTCCCATAAGTACTCCATCCACACCTTCAGCAGCAGGCGCAGAGTCCCAATCGCAGTGACACCAGTAACAGTCTGATTGTATGTCAGTCTTGAATGTTGATCGTTGCCTGCATTGCCTGGTCCCTTCTGACATGTTGTCTTCTTCACTTTCAGGTTGGTCAGTTTGAGTCCGAGAAGGTCAGCCTGCAGCAAGAACTGTCCACAATGATGAACAAGCTTGTGGACGCCCGGGTCTTGATCAGCCAGTTGGACGAGGAGAGTGTGAGTCTCTCTTGCTGTCACTGTCTTAGTCTGTCTGATACTTGCTGTCACTGTCCTAGTCTGTCTGATACTTGCTGTCACTGTCCTAGTCTGTCTGAAACTTGCTGTCACTGTTTTATTCTGTCTGATACTTGCTGTCACTGTCTCAGTCTGTCTAATACTTGCCGTCACTGTCTTAGTCTGTCTGATACTTGCTATCACTGTCCTAGTCTGTCTGATACTTGCTGTCACTGTCCTAATCTGTCTGAAACTTGCTGTCACTGTTTTATTCTGTCTGATACTTGCTGTCACTGTCTCAGTCTGTCTAATACTTGCTGTCACTGTCTTAGTCTGTCTGATACTTGCTGTCACTGCCCTAGTCTGTCTGAAACTTGCTGTCACTGTCTTAGTCTGTCTGATACTTACTGTCACTGTCTTAGTCTGATACTTGCTGTCACTGTCCTAGTCTGTATGAAACTTGCTGTCACTGTCTTAGTCTGTCTGATACTTACTGTCACTGTCCTAGTCTGTCTGAAACTTACTGTCACTGTCTTAATCTGTCTGATACTTGCTGTCACTGTCTTTGTCTGATACTTGCTGTCACTGTCTTTGTCTGATACTTGCTGTCACTGTCTTAGTCTGTCTGATACTTGCTGTCACTGTCTTAGTCTGTCTGATACTTGATGCAAAGTCCTAGTCTGTCTGATGCTTGCTGTCACTTTGTCTGATACTTGCTGTCACTGTTTTAGTCTGTCTGATACTTGCTGTCTTTGTCTGATACTTGCTGTCACTGTCTTAGTCTGTCTGATGCTTGCTGTCGCTGTCCTAGTCTGTCTGATACTTGCTGTCTTTGTCTGATACTTGCTGTCTTTGTCTGATGCTTGCTGTCACTGTCTTTGTCTGATATTTCTGTCTTTGTCTGATACTTGCTGTCTTTGTCTGATGCTTGCTGTCACTGTCCTAGACTGTCTGATACTTGCTGTCACCATGCTATTTATCTGAGACTAAGTATCTCTATCCTGGTCTGTCTGAGAGAATATCTCATATTTAACATTACTAGTCCCCCCCCCCCACCCACCCCCCCCCACCCCCTCCCACCCCGCATATCCCCCTTAATAATTATTAGCCTAGTTTGGTTGAAGACCTGATATTTCACATATTTGACCATCCTGTTTTGTTGTCAAGTTTAACCCGGTCACATATTTGACCATGCTGTTTGTTGTGAAGTTTAACCGGGTCACAAATTTGACCATGCTGTTTTGTTGTAAAGTTTACCCGGTCACATTTGACCATCCTGTTTTGATTTAAAATTTAACCCTGTCACATATTTGACCATCTGTTTTGATGTAAAATTTAACCCTGTCACATATTTGACCATCTGTTTTGATGTAAAATTTAACCCTGTCACATATTTGACCATGCTGTTTTGATGTAAAATTTAACCCTGTCACATATTTGACCATCTGTTTTGATGTAAAATTTAACCCTGTCACATATTTGACCATCTGTTTTGTTGTAAAGTTTAACATGGTCACATATTTGACCATGCTGTTTTGTTGTCAAGTTTAACCCGGTCACAAATTTGACCATGCTGTTTTGTTGTCAAGTTTAACCCGTTTACATTTGACCATCCTGTTTTGATTTAAAATTTAACCCTGTCACATATTTGACCATCTGTTTTGATGTAAAATTTAACCCTGTTACATATTTGACCATCTGTTTTGATGTAAAATTTAACCCTGTCACATATTTGACCATGCTGTTTTGATGTAAAATTTAACCCTGTCACATATTTGACCATCTGTTTTGATGTAAAATTTAACCCTGTCACATATTTGACCATCTGTTTTGTTGTAAAGTTTAACATGGTCACATATTTGACCATGCTGTTTTGTTGTCAAGTTTAACCCTGTCACATCTTTGACCATGCTGTTTTGTTGTCAAGTTTAACCCGGTCACATATTTGACCATGTTGTTTTGTTGTCAAGTTTAACCCAGTCACATATTTGACCATGCTGTTTTGTTGTCAAGTTTAACATGGTCACATATTTGACCATGCTGTTTTGTTGTAAAGTTTAACCCGGTCACATATTTGACCATCTGTTTTGATGTAAAGTTTAACCCGGTCACATATTTGACCATCTGTTTTGTTGTAAAGTTTAACATGGTCACATAGTTGACCATGCTGTTTTGTGGTCAAGTTTAACCCGGTCACATATTTGACCATGTTGTTTTGTGGTCAAGTTTAACCTGGTCACATATTTGACCATGCTGTTTTGTGGTCAAGTTTAACCTGGTGTTCTCTCTGCAGGAACGGTACAGGACAGACTGCAACACTGCTGTCCAGTTGCTACAGTGCAAGCCTTCCAACTTTGTAGCACACAAACTCAACACAGTGAGTATGCACTTGGAAGCACAATGTCACTCATTCTGCACCAGGACACACCAAGTTTCTCCTGTCTTGAACATCTGTTAACCGTTGATGTCAGAAGGGAAATTAAATCAAAACAGAGAATAGGAAAAAAGATAAGGAAGACACACAGATAGTTTACTGCAGGGCATATTTTGCTGTATCTTGTCAGAAAGACACACAGATAGTTTATTGCAGGGCATATTTTGCTGTATCTTGTCAGAAAGACACACAGATAGTTTACTGCAGGGCATATTTTGCTGTATCTTGTCAGAAAGACACAGTTTATTGCAGGGCAAATTTTGCTGTATCTTGTCAGGAAGATTACAGCAGAGTTTACAACAGTGTCTGAGGCGGCACATTAAATTCTTTCCACTTCTTCTTCTTCGCCTTCAGAGCAGGCTGTAAACTCCAGGAACAAGTTCTGGTTGTTCATCCATCTCGTTCCAGAACCTCACTTTTGCGTTAGTCGACTGTTAGGACATGCTTGTTGGGGAGGCAGTGGGTCTATTCTTGTTGTCCACACAATGGGGCCTCAGAACCCAGATAGGGAAATAGTTTCTAGTGAAAGGTCCCTTTTCTACATCTTTAGGTGTATTGGGGAATATAGGGCTAGACCTATATTTGTATGACCAACTGGCACGTGGTGGGTGATGTGGTCAGCATTACGTTGGCCGCCTTGACTTCCCAGGACTGCATCTGGTACACACTTAAGGCTTGATCGACCTGTCATGGTCATCTTAAAACAAAAGTCCTGTTCAATTGTTTCTAGTGAGCTACATTTATTGTTCCAACTTCGCACACCACAATAATTGTTTATGTTCGTTAACTGTTATCAGGTTGCTTAACCTAACATTTCAATTTCTACATGTTTTTATATATATAGTCAGTGTGCATTTGTGGCTGTCATCTGCCAGTCGCACAACATATTTATAATTCCTGTTCCTGTAATATTACTGTCCCACATGTATACTATTGTCCAACATGCGTGTGTGTTGTCCATTTAGATGATTATGACCACTCTTTTTCATCAAGTATGAGTACGAAGATGACTGATGAGGCCTATGCGGACCCGAAAAGTTCTTGGACAGTGAATGAGTGTTGTGGCAGGGAGGGGATCTCCTGCAGTCGCCTTTCTATCCATCCTTTGCTTAATCAGTCTTGCTGTTCTGTTTGCCGCGCCCTTGTGTAGAGTTGCACGCCATGCATTTTAGTCTTGAGAGGCAGCCTCCCAATTGGTGTCATTCATCCCAAATGCTTTGAGTGAAGACTTCAAGGTGTCCTTAAAGTGTTTCTTTTGTCCGCCTTGGGAACATTTCCCACTTTGCAGCTCACCATAGAAGTTTTTTTTGGGGGGGAGCTTGTGATCTGGCATGCGTGCCACATGACCAGCCCAACGAATTTGATACTGCATCAGTAGAGTAGTCTAACATATATACTTTTTCCCACATATATATAAATATATAAATATATATATATATATATATATATATATATTATATATATATATGTATATATATATATATATAATATATCTAATATATATATGTATATGTATATGTATATGTGTATATATATATAATCTATGTATATGTATATGTCTATGTGTATATGTTATATATATATATATTATATATATATATGTATATGTATATATGTTATATATATGATATATATATATATAATATATCTATATCTATATGATATATATATATATAATATATATTATATTATATATGTATATATATATATATATATATTCTATCTCTATATAATCTATATATCTATATATTATATATATAATATATTATATATATATATATATGTATATATATATATATCTATATATATTATATATATATATATATATATATATATATATATTCTTTTTATTTTTTTTTTTTATAGATACTGTTGTCCCACATGTATACTGTTATCACACACATATATTGTTGTCCATCACATTCACTGATGTTCATTCAATTTTGTTCCACATATATACTTTTGTTCCACACATTCACTGTTGTTCCACAAATTTACTGTTGTTCTACACATTCACTGATGTTGCACATATTCACTGTTGTCCCACATATATACTGTGTTTCTCCAAGAATAAAACTGGGTCATAAAATACAAAATACATTAGGACTTTTTTTCTGAGGATGTCTTTTTCTGTTCACATACATGAAATTAAATGGAACATCAGTGAGTGAGTTGAATCCAATCCGTGAGTGAGCTCATTTAGTGAATAACTCTCATCCTGAAACTATTTTCCCCATTAAATTTAGTGTTGATTTTTGAAATTTCTTCCAGCCCTTTAAAAATCACCCTATTAGTTTCTTGTCTTTTTACTCATATTTATCACATAAACTGCATTGCATACAATAATAAATATTTATCACATAAACTGCATTACATACAATAATAAATATTTATCACATAAACTGCATTACTTACAATAATAAATATTTATCACATAAACTGCATTACCTACAATAATAAATATTTATCACACAAACTGCATTACTTACAATAATAAATATTTATCACATAAACTGCATTACTTACATTAATAAATATTTATTACATAAACTGCATTACTTACAATAATAAATATTTATCACATAAACTGCATTGCCTACAATAATAAATATTTGTTACATAAACAGCGTTGCTTACAATAATAAATATTTATCACATAAACTGCATTGCTTACAATAATAAATATTTATCATATTTATTGCATGAACCCCATTGCTTACAATAATAAATATTTATCACATGAACCGCATTGCTCACAACAATAAATATTTTTTGCACTGACTACATCGCCTACAATAATAAATATTTATCACATAAACTACATTACCTACAATAATAAATATTTATTGTATAAACTACATTGCTTACAATAATAAATATTTAAAAACAAAATGCTGAAGCAAAATTTAAACACACTCATAATTTACATAAAGAAACGTGCATAGACTTACTGTGGAGATCAGGTGGCAATGTCTAGGAAAGCAAAGGCGTCATCCAATGTCTGTGCACTTATCGCTCGGGTGCTGACCCAGTCGGAATCGCGCCGCGTGTATCCCCGGATGTTTTTGTGCACAGCATGCAAACAAGATGTCTTCCAGGAGGATAAGGGCTGCCAGGTTGACCTTCTGTCCAGAACGGCTAGAACTGTGGAAATTACCACACGGAAAAGCAGGGAACGCAATCAAAGCTTCGTCCACAATGCCAGTCCTAAAGGAAGCTTCACCACTGTCAGCTTGAGCAACAGCAGCATTCATGACTCGGGGATCAACATCTCGGGGTCTAGGGATCGTTTAGGGAGCATGGGCTCGGAGACGGACTATTATTAGCTGGTGCAGGGGTCTGATATGTTATTTATACTATCGTGGGGGGACGAATTACAGTGCTAAATATGTGAATATTTGACAGTATCTAGGTATATAACCATTTAACTATATTTTATGTAGTTCCACTTGTACTAACACCATTCCTTGTACGATCTGATTTGATTGTTTGGCATCTCCGGAATAAAGTGTTTAGAGTATAGTGGGTCCCACTTGTACTAACATCATTCCTTGTATGATCTGACTGGATTGTTTGGCATCAGCGTAAGAGGTTTAAGTGTTTTGAGTAGACTGGTATTGCTCTGTATGGCTTGCGGGAAGACTAGACATGATGCCCCATGTTTAAAAGCCTGTTGTAAAAGTTGACTAAGGATTTGCTGAAATCAGAGATGTTGGGCCAAAAAGTACAAATATTGCAGCCTATCTGTAAACAACAACACAGTGTCAGCTGCTGTTTTAAACATAAATGGAAAAGAAGAAGAAATTTATTTTTATCTAAGGATGGAGGGGGGGGGGGGATGTTGGGGGTGGGGGGGGGTGGGAGCTGTCACGCTGATGTGGAGAACTCATCAGGTGTTTATTGGGGAGAGGGGGGGGGTTTCAACTTCATTATATCAGGTATTCTCCCATATGACTAAGTCTCTGTTTGCAGAGTAGATGGCTGGCATGCTGAGAGTAGCACAAAAAAAAAAAAAAAAACAAAAAAAAAAAAAAAAAAAAAAAAAAAAAAAAAAAACAAAAAAAAAAAAAAAAAAAAAAAAAAAAAAAAAAAAAAAAAAAAAAAAAAAAAAAAAAAAAAAAAAAAAAAAAAAAAAAAAAAAAAAAAAAAAAAAAAAAAAAAAAAAAAAAACCCCCACCCCCCCCCCCCCCCCCCCCCCCCCACAACCCAAAAAAACACAAAAAACAAAAAAAAAAAAAAAAAAAAAAAAAAAAAAAACAAAAAAAAAAAAAAAAAAAAAAAAAAAAAAAAAAAAAAAAAAAAAAAAAAAAAAAAAAAAAAAAAAAAAAAAAAAAAAAAAAAAAAAAAAAAAAAAAAAAAAAAAAAAAAAAAAAAAAAAAAAAAAAAAAAAAAAAAAAAAAAAAAAAAAAAAAAAAAAAAAAAAATTGTGTGTGCTCCATAGTTTCAGGAATTATCTCAAGGGATCTCTATAAAAATTGCACTTATAGATCAAATTGTAGACTGAAAATGTTTCCAAAACTTTTAGAGTGCAAAGTTCTCTGTGTGCTTCCTGCATTCCATGGGAAAAGGTGGAGAGGAAGTGTAGATTCACTAATCCCTAACTGGCATGTTGTTAAAGGGGATAAATTGGCCGTTTGGATGGGCTTTTGCTAAAAAAAAATGTTGTGTTGGGCCTAAAGGCGCCAGTATCGCAGCCTAGCTGTAAACTACAACATAACTGCTCTTACTGTACCACTTTTGTGGGTATAGGCTGGGGGTTTTTTAGAACCTTAGTGTTTAGGGCTGCATGGTTAGTGCTGTTGCCTTAGACTGTGTGGTATAGGATTGTTACTTCAGCATAGTATTCCATACACTTTTTTCAGGTTATTTGTAACAGAAGAAGAAAAGAGTGCAAGGCAGATGGATTGAACTCTTCTTGCCTTAGACACTCAAATAAAGAATGAATGAACACAAATGGCAGCAAGGAACCTGGATGAAAACAAGGACACGCATTGGTCATATTGTTTGCTTTTATCCGTGTGCATTAGTTTGCTGAGTTTCCTAGTTGCGGTTTGTGTTTACAGATTCATTGTTTCGACATAGAGCCAAATGTGTGCACTTGATGACCGGAGGCCAGTGCCATTCCACTTTCTTGAATGATAAGTGTGTGGCTTGGATCCCTGATAATGCACAGCTTTTCGCCTGTAAATGTTTCTCAGCATTGAAATGTGTAAAATGTATAGTTTTGGTAACTTCTTTTGTCTTTCATGTCCCAGTTGAGCATATGCACAGGTTTGTTTGTTTTTTAAACTGTAACATTTTAAACTATATTTGTGGCTACATGTCCTGACTTTTATCTCACATAGGCCCAAGCTTTGATAACTACAACCTTTTTAACTCTTTCGCCTTGTAATGCTAAAATAAGGGTCATGACACCGTGGTAACATAAACAGAGGAAAGCATTAAATGGAACATATTCCCCGGGACAGTTTATACTTTGTCTGTTTACATGATGTTTAAACATTTTTATACTGAATTGTGTTTGTTATGTGGTGTGTGCCTGTTTACAGCAGAGCTAAGGTGTTAGAGCCTTTTTGGTGACACATGCAACTTTCCCACACCATCTTGTCTCCCCCCCCCCCCCCCCCTCCCCCCATCCAACTTCCCCAGCTCATATCATATTTGTTAACGGATTAGCTTTTGTTTGGAACCAGCCTCCAGTTTGATGTCTTTCAATTCTTTTCAGTGATAAAAGATTGGCTGAAATATGGAAAGTGTTATAGAAATATTTGTACTTGTAAATGGTGGACCCTCAATAAAAACAGGGTTCTTGAAGTGTTTTTTACTGTATATTGGTGGCTAAATGGTGTTTGATGACATGGTAGTAAATGAATTGTCAGTAATGATGAGACGAAGATAGCAAGGTAAGCATCCTCTGTTTAGATACTGTAATGTAATTGATCTAGATGAGACCCTTGTTCCCATGTGTGGGTTATGAGGCCCCATTTTGGAGGGAAAACAACAGATTCACACCCCTGATAGGCATATATTAAAAGATGACTAATCAAGAGTGTGCTGCGATAAAATGTATTTGCCTTAGAGATATCACAGCTTACCTGAAAACCACAGCATAGCGCTCTGTAACTGCCCTTTTTAAGACAAGTACAGAAAGGGTTGGGGGAGTGGGGCATAAATACCAAAGAGTCATACCCCTGTGACAGTATCAGTGTAGATTCCCTTCAGTGCAGTGATGGATTAATCGTTGTCATCTCTGATTATACTTTTGATAATTTAATTTGTGTGAATTTTCTTAATAAACTTTTGTCACTTTTGAAAATTTACCTGTTAGCTTAGAGTCTAGTGATAATTTAGTGAGCCAGTATATCTTTCTTGTCTTGCTGTTGGGAGGACAGTTTTGAAAGAACATGTTTGGCTGTAACAGTTTTTTTACAACCTGATTGGTTTTTGTCTTGCTGTTGGGAGGACAGTTTGAAAGAACATGTTTGGCTGTAACAGTTTTTTTACAACCTGATTGGTTTTTGTCTTGCTGTTGGGAGGACAGTTTGAAAGAACATGTTTGGCTGTAACAGTTTTTTTACAACCTGATTGGTTCTTGTCTGGCTGTTCAGAGGACAGTTTGAAAAATACATGTTTGGCTGTAACAGTTTTTTTACAACCTGATTGGTTTTTGTCTTGCTGTTGGGAGGACAGTTTGAAAGAACATGTTTGGCTGTAACAGTTTTTTTACAACCTGATTGGTTTTTGTCTGGCTGTTCAGAGGACAGTTTGAAAAATACATGTTTGGCTGTAACAGTTTTTATACAACCTGATTGATAAATAAGTTAGCTTAATTATTTGATGGACTGACAGGTATTTTTACAATACATTTATTCATTATTAATCACATCTCTTCCATAAAAGCCCACTTGGAGAATCTCCAATCAGTGCACAGATTCCTTAGACCTGCCAGTATTTCAGACTTCAGATTTGCCAGTTGGGTCACCACTAATGCCTGCTTTTGATAATGCCCACAATTTATGTTTCATTAAGTGTTCACTACTAAAACTATTGTATCACTGGCAGCAGGTGCTAGCTAAATGCAGATCCACGGCTAGGTTTTTCTGATGTGAGTCTGCTATCACAGTGTGATTCTAATGATATCACAGTGTGATTCTGATGATTTCACAGTGTGATTCAGCGGAAGATACAAAGTGTATCTATGCCACTGTTACAGTGAGAACTGTTTTTCACTTTTAAAATGGGATTTCGATGTACTGATTTCGCACTGGGTTCTGTACTGAGATAGCACAGATTGCATGTTGTTGTTGTTGTTGTTGGCACCTTTGCGATTTTCCAGACAATGGGGCTATAAGCATTCATGGGAATCCCATGGTGATGGCGAGTGTGACTAGCAATATCTGTATTAAGAAAAGTCTTCCACGATTAATTCATGTATGGGATTTCAGGTCTGTTGATGCCTTTTGCAAGTATTTGGTTTGTTTCTTCTCTGAGGCTGAGCTCAACTTTTCTGCAATAATTTTCTGCCCAATTAGTTTCCTTCCTGATTTTCTCCTGTGTACAACATGGTCCATGGCATTCAGATAATATTGTAGTTTTTTTACAGTTTGATTTATTGGTTATTTTGTTTTGTTTTGTTACATTGAGAGCCTAGTTTGCCATCACATTTTGATTTATTGGGTATTTTTGATAAGTGGGGAGCCCAATTTGCCATCACATTTTGATTTATTGGGTATTTTTGATAAGTGGGGAGCCCAATTTGTCATCACATTTTGATTTATTGGGTATTTTTGATAAGTGGGGAGCCCAATTTGTCATCACATTTTGATTTATTGGGTATTTCGGTTACATTGGGAGCCCAATTTGTCATCACATTTTGATTTATTGGGTATTTTGGTAACATTGAGAGCCTATTTTGCCATCACATTTTGATTTATTGGGTATTTCAGTTACGTTGGGAGCCCAGTTTGACATCACAGTATGCTTTTTGTAGAAGAACACAACTTACTAGGTATTTTACTGATAGTATGGAAGGTCTGTTTTCTGATATCACTGGGATGTTTTTGGGTATCTCAAGTTATTAGGTATTGACATTTAAGATGGATGTTCACTTTATTGATATCACATTGTAATTCAGTGGAAGACCCCAAATTACTGAATATTTCACAAATTTTTAAGTAATTCATATCACCATATGATTTATTGAGTATTTCACAATTGAGTTGGGAGCTCAATTTGCCATCACAGTGTGGTTTCTTTGAAAAACAGGTGTGATTGACTGTTCCCACCCCCTGTAGTTAAGGTGCTAGTTCAGTTTGTTATCACAGTGTCATTCTGTGTGGATCCAAGTTACTGATTCAGTGTGGGTCCAAGTTACTGATTAAGTGTGGGTCCAAGTTACTGATTCTGTTTAGGTCTAGGTTAATGATTCAGTGTGGGTCCAAGTTACTGATTCAGTGTGGGTCCAAGTTACTGATTCTGTTTGGGTCTAGGTTAATGATTCAATGTGGGTCCAAGTTACTGATTCTATTTGGGTCCAGGTTAATGATTCAGTGTAGATCCAAGTTACTGATTCTTTGGGTCCAGGTTAATGATTCAGTGTGGGTCCAAGTTACTGATTCTGTTTGGGTCCAGATTAATGATTCAGTGTGGGTCCAAGTTACTGATTCTGTGTGGATCCGAGTTACTGATTCAGTGTGGATCCAGGTTAAGATTCCAGATTAATGATTTTGTGTGGATCCCAGTTACTAGGTTACTAAAGGAATGACCGGCTTAGTTCTTAGAGTGCTGGACTCTTTTGCAGGAAAGCAAATTGTGATGTTTGGTAAGGGATGGGGATTTCTTTTGTCTGGGCCCAAAGTAAAATGCTGCCCTGTGTAGACTGGGGTGACTGTACCAGCTGTGAGGCCCTAAACCCTCAGTCTGATGTTTTCCTAGGCCTACACTGTCTTAGAAGTGGTAACTACAGGCGGGCGGTTGAGATGGGAGTTCACTGTATCTCTCTTCTCCTTCAGCTCGTCTTTGCCTCTACTGGATGTAAATTTCAGTAGAAAGTTCTGGTTGTTTGCCCACCTCTGGAATTTTTCTTCCAGAGCATGAGTCTTGCCTGCACATCATGTTTTACACATTGTTTATAAAGCAGACTGTTTGTTCCTTGCCTTTAGGCAAATACACTGGCTGTGAAGGAGACACCCCTGATTAGTCCACTTGTTATGCGGGAAGTGGGTCTGTTCTCTTTCCCCCAAAATGGAACCCTGGAGTGTATACGAGGATCAGCTGTGTATATCATGTGACACCTGACAGGGGTCAGCTGTGTATATCATGTGACACCTGACAGGGGTCAGCTGTGTATATCATATGACACCTGACAGGGATCAGCTGTGTATATCATGTGACACCTGACAGGGATCAGCTGTGTATATCATGTGACACCTGACAGGGATCAGCTGTGTATATCATGTGACACCTGACAGGGATCAGCTGTGTATATCATGTGACACCTGACATGGATCAGCTGTGTATATCATGTGACACCTGACGGGGATCAGCTGTGTATATCATGTGACACCTGACAGGGGTCTGCCTGGGGGTTGTGTCTGAAACCTGTTGATTCGTTTTAATACGATGATCACTTACACATGAACATATAGTCAACATTTAGGCTGTTTTGTTTTTGTTTGTTTTTTCAATCTGAAATACTGATGATTCTCTGCTGGTTTCTGCTCAGCAAGTGTCCAATATATCACTATCGACTTTGTCTTATTTTGATAACTCGTTACCAGTAGTTGCCCAGCCATTTCTCTTATTTCTTCAACCCTGTTGAATTCATCCCATTTCATATTCAACATTTCCGTAAGCATTTGCTTTTGTTTCTGTCATGTTTGTTGTATAGACATGTATTTGCCAATCCCTAACTGAAGACACAGTATCTACTTGTTGTGTGGGGCTAACCAAATATATAAGTGTCAACATCAATAATATATTTGAAAATATGAATGGGAATATCCTCATGTTAACATTTAAACTGTCATTAGGAATAATGTACTTGTTGGCGTCTGAATGAGGATAATTCATTTTTTAGCGTGTCAGTGTGAGAAAGGATAAGATAATGTAAATGTGAATAATGTACATGTCAACATGGGAAAAGCCTGTTTTGTTTACATGTAAATATGAATCATGTATTTATTATCATGCTCATGGAAATAATCTGTTTGTTTACATGTAAATAAAATTATGATTGGGAATAACATACTTGTTTTCACATGTAAATGGGAATAACATACTTTTTTTTTTAAAGGAAGAAAAAAAACATGGAAATGGTAATTCATCATCATCATCAATTCTCTTTATGCCGAGTGGCACATGAGGCTTCAAAGAGGACTTTCCATGCTTTCCTGTTCTTTGCAATCTTCAGTGCAGTTTTCCATGTCAAAGATGCCACACTCAGGTCCCTCTCCATCGTTCGTCTCCATGTCGTTTTTGGGTGCCCCTTCTTTTTCTGATGTGAGGTTTGTTTTGGCTGGTGCCATTTCCATCTTCTCTTGGTTATCTTACTGTCTTGTTTCTTGGTTTGTGTTTTGAAGTAGTTTAGTGATTACGTGCTTGAACAATGAACAATATTGCAAGAAGTGTAAAGTTCACTAAGGAGACAAAGACATTTGATTATCAATACAGAACAGGCTTTATCACTCTTGAGGCTTCTGAGGAGGAGTTCAGAGCAACTATGGATCTGTCTTGAGTGCTGGGACGATCATCAACCCTAATCCCTTCTCTACCCTGACAGCCTTCTTTAGTGTGTCCTTTTCTACTCTAGGATGTCGTGTGTGGAGGAAGCTTACAGCCATATTTAATCTTTGCCTTTCTATCCTGCAGGGTTGAGACTCTTACCTGTATATCCAGTCTTCCGCACCTACTTTGTGTTTCAAGCAACAATCAATAAACACAGTGAGAACCTGTAGAAATATATTTCCATTGTCTTTCTTTTCCAAAAACCTTTGATGAGGGAAAGGGTAGTAGGTGGATTTAGTTGTGGGGGGGGGGGGGGGGGGGGGGAATCAAAGACTATCTCTTTCATTTCCATTTAGCCAAACTATGCCACAGCAACGCGTGGTCAGGTACAGCTAGTATATATATAAAATAAGCAAACAGACAGTGTATTGTTCGGCAGTTATAAAAAGATGGAAGAACACACTAGACCCAAAAAAATTAAAAGTTATATTAACAGTGCAGGGATTATGTTGTCTAGTGTGTCACAGTTCACTTGTGCAAGCCTGAATATATTGTTTGGATCAGTGGCTCTCAGTTAGATAAGACCCATAGACCCCTGTCATTTTCCAAAGGTTTGCTACAGACTCCCCACCCTTTCAGTCATAAACAACGTGTCATGTGTGTTTAGCTTAGCCCTTCTTTGAATACCACCCAGCATGTAATCTGTTCTAGTCCTCTTCACAGTTGGTCACAGCATACTAAAAAATCTGGCTTCCCCAGTATTTTGAGTATTTGAAAGCAATACACTTGCAGGTTTTCCTATTGTCTTTTTAAAAATGAAATAATGTATGTGTGTTATAAGTTATATTATCTTCACAGCACTCCGGACACATCCATAGGTGCTCAGATCCTCCCCCCCCCCCTTTTCAACATATTCATCAGTGTCTCGGAGTTAATACTATCAGTCCTATGTTGGTGGACAAGACTTAGTGTGCGTCCGGTGTGCTTCTCGTGCTTGGCTATGCCGATCTTTACTCCCAATTCTCGTATTCTTAGCAGTGATGTGGACACGTTGCGTCCAAAATCCTTGTCCTAACCCTCTAACGGCATTGACAATGTCTGCGTGATCCATGGGCCGGCCATCTTCAATTGATGAGGCACCTGCCAGTCTATTAACAACAACACCTGCATGCCCTGGGACAAATATGAAAGTAACTGCACACAGAGGAGAATTTTGCAATGACTCAAGCCACTGTCTGCGCAACCAGCCTGCCTCGACCCGCCGGATCATGCTCAAAGAATCACTCAGCACACACACGCGGGAATAGTCCTGTGATCCCAGCCACATGAAAGCCTGTGTCACCACCATCACCTCCATCGTCATGCCGCTGGTGGTCAAGGAGAAGGCGCCGTTGGCTTCCTTAACTGTTCTGCTTGAAGAGCGAGCTGTAAATGCCATGCACTCTTATGTCCTTGTATAACAGACTGTGTGGCTATGTGTGTATATATTGCAGTCAGGCAGTTAACATGCATATTAATGCAAAGACTAAATCTATATTGAATCGCTAAAACATGAAGGGTTGGGTTTTTATAATTTTTCTAGATGAATGAATGAAGTTCAACCCCACCAGGACTGCACAATGAGCGATAAAAACACCCGGTGACACAAAGTGCCACCATTTGGATGAGAATCACCCGGGGACCTTTTCCAGAAATCCCGTTCAACTTTTAGCTGATATTAGGGCCTCTGACCACAGCCGGGGTAAGGCTTTAAAATAACAAAAATTGCGTCCATATTAATGCGGCAACAGATAGTAGTGATTTTGTCTGAATGATATCCCAGAGCCGTGAAATGTGCCACATCTTTTGCGACCGACTGGTTTCGATCAGTCTTTCCCAAACTTTTCTTAGTTGTCTCCCCTTTCTTCAATTCTATGAAGAGGCTGCCGCCCACAGTTTGAGAATCACTGGTTTAGATCATGCAGTAGTCCCCAGAACGTAGATAGGCCACCTATGCAAGCAGCATTCATTGGAACACTTGAGACACACACATGACACTCAAGGACGTCTTGTTACATGGCGGCACATCTCTTGTCTGTTGATGAACTTTCAAAACGCTTGTCTTTCGTCTTTGTTTTCCATTCATATTCAACTTTCATCCATTTGTTGTTCAAATCGACAATTGTCATCTTTATATTTTACGTGATTGTGTCTCGTATACAATATCTTTAGATACAAGTTTTGTCTTTCAGTGTTCTTCCTTTCCTTGTCTGCTAACTGATCACAGATCTAGCGCCTCTTCAACCGCACCCAGAGACCGTGGTCAGTCTTGAGTATCACAGTGGCTGAACGTTGAACGGCCGGAGCATCAGGGGCCAGCTCTATGGTGTATCTGCAATTGAAAGACAAAGTTCAGGTGCGTCTGTAGCTGATACTGTAAAGCAACTAATATACAGAATTTACAGGCCGAACAGTTTTACGACATTATATTAATTCATTCATTTTAAAACTAGTTTCTCCAATTGGACCGCATGCCTTTTATCTGGAAAAGATCATAGATGGTAAAATACAAAAAAAATTCTAGAAACGATATCGGCTGGTATCGAGAGGCTGTTACCAATTAAGTTAAGACACGTGAGCAAAAGTCGCGATCCTAGCTTATAATGTGTATGCTTGAGTTCAGAACAAGCAGGAAACTGAGGTGGCCACACTGGTTCTAGTAAATACCTACAACAGGGTTGTTGTATCTGACGTTTGACTGTACACACTGATGGATATGGTCAGTCCCTGGATCGTCATCTGCATTGCAACGGTCGTGTATGAAAGGCGGACGGTCTTTCACTTGGGCTTGTGGAACTCTACCTTGTAGTATCGAACCTACCCCCCCCCCCCCCCCCTTCCCCCTTTCCCTACAGGGAACCGCCATTTCGCCAGTTCTATTCACTGTGTATTCAAGCATCTTCTTGTTCTGACATAGGTACTAAAACACTAAGAACGATAAGGAAGTGAGTATAGTTGTGCAGTGTTGTGGTGCCCGTATGTGATTAAAATTTATCGTGTGGGCAACTGCTGATCTGTTGGCGACTCTCTGCTACCATCAATGATGAACTGCAATTCTAATACTGTGATAAACATTCTGTGTTTTTTGATGGCACAGGAGCGGAGCAAAGATGGGGTGACCCGTTTGCTATGAAGCTGAAACTAAGACTACTAGACTACCAGAATAGTTGCATGCAGTTAAATACATCAGTCAATGAGCATTTCCCCCACCTTCGGACGTATTGAGCAGATAGTTCTAGACCTTTACTTTACAGACCAGTCAGCATCTAATGGGTGATTTGCTCAACATCCTGCCAGCCGCCTTGACTTCCCATGACTTTACGCGATACCCACTGAAGGCTAGGTCAGCTTGGAAGCCAAGGTCATCTGTGAAAGTACCCCGGCTGTGGATGTAACCCAAGACTTGGGGGCGAGCGTCTAGCCACTACATCATGGCAGCTAAACACATCTGTTGAAACGTTAGTTACATATCCTGTACATATCCTTTACGTATCCTTTATGCATCTTTTACATATCCTTTACATATCCTTTATATATCCTTTACATATCCTTCACGTATCCTTTACATTTCCTTTACACATCCTTTACATATCATTTACGTATCCCTTATGTATCCTTTACATATCCTTCACGTATCCTTTACATTTCCTTTACACATCCTTTACATATCATTTACGTATCCCTTATGTATCCTTTACATATCCTTTACATATCTTTTATATATCCTTTATATATCCTTTATGTATCCTTTACATATCCTTTATATTCTTTGTGTATCCTTTACATATCCTTTATATATCCTTTGCGTATCCTTTACATATCCTTTGCATATCCTTTACGTATCCTTTACATATAATTTACATATCCTTTGTGTATTCCTTACAGGACGTTGCAGAAGCAACCCATCATTGTTTGGCTGTTTCTATGCAAATTTCACTTTCAGTAGTTCGCCATTGCTTGCTCAACGGTCAGCTTTCAGTACCACTGTCAAAACAAACACAAGAGAAATCGTTTGCAGGTAGGATGGAACCTAGCACCCTGGCATTACGAAGCGCGTTCGCAACACTTTAGCCACAGACGCCGACAAACGCATCAGTAGTATCCCCATGTGGGTTTCAGGGCCTCGCTGTCGAGGAAAACAAGCATAGACCTATTGCCTTCTCAACAAGCATGTCGCAGGAGTTGACTAAGGGTTTCCTTCGAAGTCAGAGTGCATCAGTCAAAGCGGCAAAGAACAACTAACTGCACACAAATAAGCAAGTAAAACGGATGTACACGCAAAACTCGGGCCCTGGCACAAAGCCAAAGTCCAGATGGACGAACAACAAGGACTTTTCTCCTGAGTTTACAGCCGGTGAATAAAAAGAACGAGTGAATACTTAAGAACAAACAATTTACACCAGCTACTACCTGTGTAGAATCCGACTGATGAGAACTTTGGCCTCATTGAGCGCAAAGTTCTGTCCCAGACAATTCCTCGGGCCGGCTGAGAAAGGAACGAACGAGTACATGTCTTTGTTTTTCAAATTTTCTGGCAGGAACCTTTCAGGTCTGAACTCATCCGGGTCTTCCCACACCAGAGAGTTTCTGTGTAAGTTGATTATAGCTATCGTGATCAGTGTCCCTGGAGGGATGGCTTTTCCGTCTATTTCTATAGGCTGTGTGAGTACTCGTTGAATGAATGGGACAGGCGGGTAGAGCCTCAGGGCTTCCTTCATGCAGAGCTGGAGGGTGTGAAGGTTGGGCAGGTCTGACCTGGGAAAGAATGACAAATGAAAATGCATGTAATTCTTACTCACTCACTTACTTTGTCCTCTTCTACCCTGGGTGAAGATTCGAACATGCAACCCTCACGTCCCTTCTGCGCAGAGCTGTTGTGTTTTGCAAAAATAAGTTATCATTCCAGTTTTCTCCATAGCTTTGAGTTATCTCTAACACAATTTGTTTATCAAATTATTTAAAACGTAGCATAAAATATATTATACTTTGCGTTCCTTATCTAAAATTTTATAATCTGTTATAATGAAGACATAATCAGTTTAGAACTGAAGAGTGAAAAGTATTAGTCGTTAGACAAATTTGATATTTAATATCAGAAAGCACAACACTCTATATATCTCACTTATAACCAAAAAGGGTTGATAAGTAGTATATCGTTTATTTAAAATTACCAAATTGTCTAGTTGGCTTCTTTGATGGCTACTTCTGCTCTCTATTGTTGTCAGTTGTAATCAATGTTCTTTAAGGCTATGTCACCTGCTATATAAGTGTTATTCTGCCGTTTCATTAACACACACACATAGAGTGACATTCTGAAAGGATCTGCTATATGATGAGGATTATGTTGTTGGTGATGATGATGAATGTTTCTATGGCTGCCACCTTTCACATCAGAACCACCTGTTCGTTCTGCCGCGGACTATGCTGGGCTAGGGAGTTGAGATGGAGGGAGGTGGGGGGGGGGGGAATCGCTGATATTCTTAATGAAACTTCAGTCACAAATGTAGTCAAAGAGAAGAAGTTATCAGAAAGTTTTTTCATTCGAATACGTTTCGTAAAATAACAGCAAAATAAATGATTTAACCACTTAAGTGAACACCACGGGGTACCATACTATACAAGGCACACATCAAAAGAGGAGAAGGACGTAGAGTACCAAGGTAGACCAAGAACTAGATGAGCAGATAACATCAAATGAATTCTACAACACCGACCAGAAAAAAAAGGCAGGATTCTATATTTCACTTGTCACCCGAAATATTGAAAGAGGAAGTGAAGAAGAAGAAGAAGAAGAAAGTACACAAACAAGCATGTCGTAGGAGTCGACTAATAGCGGACTTATCTACCCGAGCGGCCAGAACAACCAACTGCACACAAATAAGCAAGTAAAACAGATCTACACGCAAAACTCAGGTCCTGGCACAAAGCCACAGTCCAATGGACGAACAAACTAAGACTTTCCACCGGAACTTCAAGCCGATGAATGAAGAAAAATATTCCTATATGTCTTCCCCCAGGCTAACACTTTGCTGATAGTAGTTGTAGGGAAAATAATCGTCACGTTCATCCAGCTTTCCCGAAGGGGTAGCTTTAGGTTATAATTGTGACTAGGTTATGTGCACCATGTAAAATAGTTTAGCATTGCTCGCCACCAAGAAACTCTGGAAAGAACTCTCGCAGTTCTGCTGCGATCACATAAGGTTAGATGCGTAACCTTTACAGGACGTTGCAGAGCCAACCTCAGCAGCCCCTAGCTGCTGCGATCACATAAGGTTAAATGCGTAACCTTTACAGGACGTTGCAGAGCCAACCTCAGCAGCCCCTACTGTTGGATCACACAAGGTTAGTTGCGTAACCTTTACAGGACGTTGCAGAGGCAACCTCAGCAGCCCCTAGCTGCTGCGATCACATAAGACAGACCGAAATAATGTCCCGACCGGCGACGAAGTAGTTTACAACGGGCGACCTGGTCGCCAATGGTAACTGCAGGAGATGAAGTACAAGATTACCATAGGACGTCATCGGAGTCCCTGCCCTGCAGCACTGTATCTATCTCCGCTTGAACTTTGACCTGGTATTCTGGGTGTTTTGCCAGGTTGTAGAGGATCCAGTTCACAGCGGCACCTGTTGTGTCATGACCTGGAAGTATTAAAAAGGTCATTTCTACATTTTGCTTTGAGGTTTTAAACAACCGATCAACATCATAGCACAGGGGTAGTGGCCCATACGTGCTCCGTTCTTCTTCTAATTCTCAGTGCACAGGCTCTGTAGCACCGGCGAGGATCCTGAAATACTTTGGGTAGATTTTTAACTCAAAATTTTGCCCAGGCAGCGCCGTGAGGCTACTTTCCAACTGCTAATGGATTTCTTTATGTGCGCAACAATGCACACGGGTATTATCATCAATCATCAGTTCTCGTTATGCCTAGTGGCACGTGAGGCTTCATAGAGGACTTTCCATGCTTTCCTGTCCTGTGCAATCTTCAGTGCAGTTTTCCATGTCAAAGATGCCGCACTGAGGTCACTTTCCATCGTTTTTCTCCATGTTGTTTTTGGGCGCCCCTGTTTTCTCTTCGCCTCTGGTGTCCATGTGAGAGCTGTTTTGGCAGGTATATCAGAAGTCATTCTCATGACGTGGCCAACCTGTGTTAGATCTCAGTATTCAGAGACCAGGGAGAATTACTAAAAGTCCTTACCGGGAATTGAACCCGAAACCTCTAGAACTCGAGGCGGACACCATGCCTCAAGACCACGTGGCCCCTCTTAACTAAAAACTGACTGAAAAGACAAAGCTTTCACTATCTATCAAAATTGTTCTGTGCTCAAAACAGTGACATCTTTTCTAATGATCCTTCAACTTGGGAAATGATCCATGCATACAACATATACCTATAGCCTAACTATACTGTCAGAATAATAATCCCAGCCATAGATAGCGAGGCTAAAGAATGTGTGCGCGCGCACAACAGAGACGGCGTACATCATCATCATCAGGTGCCTTGCCGACTGGCTTGAGCGATCATGCCTCTCCATAATCTGTGATCTCCTGCATACAAGGCCTCTACCAGAGAAGAGAACGGAAAGCAGAGGATGGAAAGATAACATTAGAGAAACTCTAGAACAGAGTGATGCGTCTAAAGTCGAGGCGGCTAGAAGAGCAAACACAGAACCTTGTATCCTTCTCCACATCCAAGGTGGTACAAAAGAAAGTGGACTCTAAGTCACATAACACAAAATACATCAGACAGACATACAACTGGACACATAAACGGGTTTACCCGCAAACATGAATGTGTCCACTTCATTTCTGATCTCATGCGTGGTCATCGGATGTCCATCTTCGTCTCTGGCCATGAGCAGAATGTCTAGGAAGTCCAGATGGAGACTTTTTGGTGGACCCTCCTTCTGCTAGAAGCCGATCATGAAATAAAGGATTATATTAGAGCAGCCGACAAGTCGAGACATGATCCAGACCTTTGGGAGCTAGGGGACAGTGCCCAAGTACTAATAACCTGACATAAGGTTAGTTGCGTATCCTTTACAGGACGTTACAGAACCAACCCCAACAGCGCCTGGTTGTTGTGTGGTTTTTCTAGGCAAATTTACGTCCAGTAGTTTGCCATTGCTCTCTGGACGGTCAGCTTTCTCGATACCACTGTAGAAATCAACGCAAGGCGCATGTCCCGCAGTTGGGATCGAACCCGGCATCACGAAGCGTTCGCATCGACTTAGCCACAGAGCCGACAACCTGACATAACATAACATAGAATAGCATAACATAACACAACATAACATAACACAATATAACCCTTCACATGTTAGTGTCGTGAAAGGCGTATCGATGAACACAGTAGCACACAACACTCGACATCTTTCTCGTGGTTCTCCACTCATACACGTAGTCCTGTTTTGACTCACAGATCTACTCACCACAGTGCAGACCTGATAAGGAGAACTCATAAATTCTTCCTATCCACATAAGATCAAGCAAGAAGAATTGCCCTCGAAAAATAACATGTTTCTTCACAACAAAATGTGCCACCTCCGAGATCGCTTTAAGCGGCCTCCACTGTACTGGCGACCACCAACGCGGAAGCTACATGTGTACAGATCTGATGTGAAAGCAAGGCACCAGTTTGCCTTAGAGAAAAAGGATTGATGCCATTAGAGAACTTTTTTTTTTTTCTGCTTCTGCCAGACTGTGGCCGTTGCTTTTTTGCTCCATTTGTAGACTGGAAGTATATAGTTTCGTTACCCAGCTTCTGAGTTGAGTGCATGGCGCGACACTGTGAGCTGCGGATTTCATTTCGAATGTTTTTCGACTGACCAACGTGGTGGTGTGATTTGTAGATTCAGAAAATGGCGCGATGCCGGTTGTTGCAATATTGGTGGGGCCATTATTTGATTAAAATTGATCGTGCAACTGCTGATCTTTTGGTGACTTCTGCTACCATCTATGATGAACTGCATTTCTAACGTCAGAATGTTTGTGTTAGCACTTCGGATGGCTACCATGTGCTTTTAATGCGAGTGTATGCTAGATTTGCTGAGACAGCAGTTTTTCAGTCTTTCCACAAGGGACTGTGATAAACATTATGTGTGTTTTTCGTTGGCACAGGAGCGGAGCAAAGATGGGGTGACCCTTTTGCTATGAAGCTGAAATTAAAATTACCAGATTACCAGAGAACTTCTACATCGACACGGAGCGACAATGGTCATTGCTGCTCGTCAAGCAATGGATCGCAGACTGTTCGGTCCCCCGTCACTTAACTCTTTGTCGCAAGGAACGCATCCTGCGTCATAGGTTCCTACCTAGAAGCCCAATGAACGCAAGATGCGCCGATTTTACGTTTCTCGTAACTACCTCTTGGGCCTCTGATGTAAAATCTCAAGGGACTCAAGGAATTAACACCAGCAGTGGACGCTGATGATGATGCGATGATTGTGATGGCTGTACTCACGAGGAGTTGTCTCCGTTTGTTGATGATGTCGTCTGCTACATTATGGACGTAGTTGCAGTTTCTCAAAAACCTGCGTCCGCCGGAAGTTAGGTAGAAAATGCAATCTGGCCACAACCAGGGCAACCTGTAGATTATAAACATTGGTTGTTAGTCATGGCCTTATTCCTCCCTTAAATGGGAAACAAATGGATTGAAGGAACGAGCACATGCAAGAGAAACATGCTAGAGAAACATGTAAGAGAAACATGTAAGAGAATCATGTAAGAGAAACATGTTAGAGAAACATGTAAGAGAAACATGTAAGAGAAACATGTAAGAGAAACATGTAAGAGAAACATGTAAAAGAAACATGTAAGAGAAACATGTAAGAGAAACATGTAAGAGAAACATGTTAGAGAAACATGTAAGAGAAACATGTAAGAGAAACATGCTAGAGAAACATGTAAGAGAAACATGTAAGAGAACATGCAAAAAGAAAATGCAAGAGAAACCATAAGACGGAAGCTGCTGAGAGAGGCCAAGGTTGCTGGAACTGGGTTCCATTCTTAGTGTCGAAAGAAAGGAACAGGACAGAATGGAATGGAAAACTTGACTGTGAGCATTATGTAACGTATAACAGTAGAACAACATGAGGATGATGGTGATGATAATGATGATGATGATGATGATGATGATGATGATGATGATGATGATGATGATAATAATGGTGATGATGATGATGATGATAATGATGATGATAATGATGATGATGACTAGACGACTAGACAAAATGAAAATGACAAAAACATCGGCAGAAGGGAATAAACGGAAGAATATGGACAAAAAGAAAATTCCCTATACAAAATGAGCCAGGCGAAAAGAAATAGATTTTAAAGAGATGAAAAACTGGTGATAAAGAACGAATAAATAGAAAGGGTGAAGAGAGAGACGTCAAAGATAGTAATAGGCTAAACAGAGCAGACAATAGTAGACATAAGGGAATAGTCACTAAGGTGACAGAAATTAATAGACAGAGAGGAATGGACAGAAAGAAACAGAAAAAAAGGAACAAAGAAATAGACTGACAGAATTAATCACACAGGAATAGACATAAGGGAATAGACAGAATATGAGAGAAAGAAAGTTCAAGACAGAAAGAAATTGTCACAAAGGAACCAGAAGGTATAATGAAAGAGACAGGCAGTGAATAAAAAGACATCAGAAAGTTTGGGACATCACAAGCTACGACCTTGCTCTTGTACTCCATTGTTCGACAAGTTCTGTCACCGCTAGAGCATAGGAACGATCGCTGGAAAACAGAGTAGATATTTGCTTCTATTTACATGCAAAATGGTGTATCACCGAAAAATCACCGGGTCTTATATTAGTTTGTGCTTTAATAACAGCAATGGATTTATGAATAAATTTTAAAAATCTGGCATCGCTGCACTCGGGACATTCCCGGGCGTGCTCCGTCTCCTTCCTCGGTAGCCAACGGAGAGTCGACATCCTAAAAATAACCAGTTTTATCTGATTAAAAGTCTGCCTCCCAGTGTTGAACATCTTTCAGAAGCTCTGCGCAACCCCTCCCC